TTTTTTTTTATTTATTCTAGTGGATGTAATATTTCGAAGTGCTTAGATGATGGTAGAAAAAGATGGAGAAAGAAAAAAAAACAAGGTAATGGATATATTTAAGTCAAAAACATCATCATTAACGCAAAGTGTTTTACAATTTGCGACTAATGTAGTCATGACGAGTATGAATTCACGTTTGCCAGAATATCAAGGAAATAAATAAAAACCATAGCACAAAAATCTTGAAGAAAGAATAAAAAAGAAAAAGAAAGTATACTCATAAGCAGAAGTAAGAAGAAAGAATAATAAAATAAAATATTTAGATAAATTACAATTATGTTCTTATTTTTTTCTCTTTTTTTTTACCCATTAATTCGTTTCGACAAAAAGTAATCACCTTACTGTGAAAGATACAATTCGTGTTAATTTATCAACTGACATGCACAAGATTGTGACGCACTGGAGGAGTAGTTCTATCACTTTCAGCGATAATGACATTTACAGAGCGACTTCATCATTCTAGTCAGATCAATATCAGCACAAACACACACTTATATAGTAGTTACATAAGAGAAAGCAAACAGAAGTGTACATTTTCAAGATCAACACCGTGAAGAAGAAGTCATATTCAGAAAAAGAGAAAGAGAAATGAGGTGTAATGGTTAAGAACCATTACAAGCACCATAGAAAAAGCTCACTAAAATTGTCATTTTTTTCTTTTGAACGATTCTTAACGTTCTTTGAATATAGGCTTTAACATATAACTCTAAGGTGAGCTCAGAAGTGACAGTATATAGATTGTGTACAGAGACGAACAAACAACGGTACGCACGTGAAAGGTCGACATGGAGTTTTTCTAGCGGCATCTGTTGCTGAGTCTCCAAAAGAAAAGGAAAAAATGAAAATAACCAAGTAAAATGTGAGAAGATATGTGCGAAGAAATATTGACGAAGTGCTTGGAGAACAGACCGAGTTTCAGCTGCCTCAGTTTTTTAGGGATCTCTGGATATTTTCTACACATTTTTCGATTATGGGTTTCAAGTACAGTCTATCAGTTCATGTAAATCCTGTATACTTCTTCAATTCTTTAATCAGTTCGATTTCTTTGCATTCATTGTAACATTCACTAGTTGGTCTTATAACTTGAATGTGAAACATCTATTTTCTTCCTCTAAATATTGAGTCGTCAGAATTACATTCTTCATGATAGGTGCTCTTATAAGTACACTAAGATCATCTGCAAACAGGTGACTTCAATGAGCACCCAAACAGTGCATTAGATCACAATGGAACATAATAAACAGGTACAGATTAAGACTACTAATATGTGGAAATTCTACACTTATATCAAAACTTTTCGATATTTTTCGTCAAATACTGCACATGCTTTTCTGTCTTTTCACCAGCTTGTCCAAGGTCATATTATCAGCGAAGCTTACCGAATGCTTTTTGAAGTGAAAATAAAATGTGAAATTAATTTTGAATGAATATCAAAATCAGAAATCGATTTTATTATTTCTCAAAACTTGATTGAAGACATTCAAGTGTAACACGAGTGATTAAGCTAAATCTATCATTCTAATGTACGAATCCAATAAGAACTTTACGAAAACGACAGGCTTTCCCTAACGCCTATGATTGGTTTTATTGGATCCGAATGCAAAATACCTTAGAAATCATCGAACTTTCTATCAAAAATACACTGAAAGTTCGCAGTATTCGGCCATTGTCGATTTAAGAACTTTCATCACGTATTAGTTTCAATTTCAACAAAAATGAACAATTTCAAACATCTTTTACTTTAAAAAAGAATCATTCTTGTTGAATAGAAATCACCAATAGTCAAATTGGTCACTAAAATTCTTGTACAGTGACTTTTTACACAAATCAAAGTGATCGAATTAAGACCTCTGAAAAAATGGAAATTAAGATAAATGCATGAGAAGAAAGCCCAAGGTCTAATCTTTCATAAACGGCATGATTTTTTATATGGTACCCCACTATTTTTTGACATTTTACATCAATTGCATCATTCTCTGCTAGAAAAATAGGCTCTTTTCAGAAACCATAGGACATGTTTTTCGCCTTTTCTCTATTTATCCTTTTTTTTTGATCACACAATTTACAGTTTCCTGTCAGCCTTGATTCTATATATTTAATATTTTTCTCTTTGTTTAAATGAGAATTCCAGGTTGCAAGGCATGACAGAGTCGTGTTTTTCAATTAAGCTTTTATTACTATTATATAATAGGATATTTTTATAATTAGAGTGCCATTTCATGAGTTTTTCAGTATATTGAAATTTTGCTCTCCTGAAAAGTTACAATTTTGAAACAGCACTCTGTCATGCCCTGCATTCTGACATGCTTTTTCAAGCAAAAAAAAACTGAAGTGTATGGAATGAAGTTCCACAGAGAATTTCCGATTGCCAAATAAACTACTTTTGACTCTTGCTGGTTAAATATCTCCCGACAACATCATGATATAGTGCTGAAAACTTCATACATTTGAATGTATCTGGGCCACGATCAATTTTTGAGAGGCCAAAAGATTTTAATAAAAAAATTTTGTTCGGCAATTTTGAAAAAGTATATAGTCACATTCTTGTGTTTATATTGGTATTTAGAAGTGATCCATTTAACTTAACTTAAAATGATGTTAAGAATAGTTATTTAAACCTTAATATGAATAAAAAAGAAAAGATTTAAAGCTACTATTTACTAATAAGATATTCAATGCTGGCGCGCGGATCTTCTTTTTATTAAGATCACTTGTTAAGTAAAATCACTTAATACTTGATTTACTCAAGAAAGGTTAAAGAAAGAATCTTTATTTATTGTACAGTTATAAATAATTGTTGTACTCTTTCTTACGAGGGAAGGTTCCAGAGTGTTTCTCGGAGATTTCAACGAAAACTATATGGGTTTGTCAAGTCAAGTATTGGTATCTCAAATATAGAAAAATTAGCGTCTGAGACTAATCTGTTAAAAAAATTTGGAATCGTAATATTTTTTTCTAGTACCCTGAGAACGATCATAGGTGACTTCTTTTGACGAAACATAAAGTTGGCAAAAACAATCTGAAACATTTATAGATCGACTCAGTTTTTAATGTTGAATCCAAATATTTTATTAGTTTAACCACATGTTGTATTTTTAAAACCGAAATCTCCTAATACTAGTCAAAACTGTACAAAATCATGTTTAGAGAATAGTCTACTAGGAAGCTTTTAGGTGACTAGTATTTTCGGAGTTTGAGAATTATGCGATTATATTAACGGTTTGAACGTACTATCGATTGATATATGAAAATTTACATAAACTAACTGAACAATGTAGTTCTTGATTGTTTGATTAGACATCTACCAAAACAAATTACTCAGCTATAATAAAATCTAGTCGATATTCAAGTGACTATTTATCTCAGAGATTCTGGCCATTTTGATAATGTACACGATGTGTGCTTTCGTTCTAACGAAGATTTTTATTCTGTATACATATGCAAGGACTTTCTTTTATTTGCTGCAATCATTGTGATCGTGTCCTTTGTTGCAATCATACGCTTTGTCATTGATCATAAACATCAGTAACATGCCCTTCTACTCATTGCCAGATAAGCAATCACTTCTTCATATTCATTGAGACGAAAAACCATGTATTTTTTTAAATCGGATCTTTCACTTTGCACGGCAACATTTTTGCCTACTATTAAGCAGTTTTCATACAACAGAAGAGAATGCTGTTGTAAAAACTGTATGTACATGTGCAAATATCAAGTAGTCAATTGATGTTTTCGTTTTTTTTAAATTATATAGCGTAGAAAAAGATATAATCAAATAGTGTTCATGGCTATTCGTTTTCTTTAAAACGGTATAGAATTCATAGCAGAATGCTTGGCATTACAAGTTTATAAGGTCAATAGTACTCAATATTAAATAAAAAATCTCACTACTAAAATAATAAAGGATAAGAGGGCACAACGGGCTGAACCGATCCAAACTTGAATTATTGAAATACATGCATGCTTTGATGCAGAATGTTACGCTGTTTTGCTTGGAATTAGTTTCAAATCGTTTATGATAAAATGTAGAGTAGTAATGACTAGACGTATTACCCTTACCTTATCATCGTCAAAATCGTGAGATATCTTGCCGATATCTTTTCACAGTGATATTATTTTATTTCGAAATGGCATCATTCGATCGAGCATTTGCTTCTACATCGATTCGCTTAAGAATAAGTCTTTCAAAAAAAAAAGTTGTTGTTATTCTTATTTGTCGTTTCATTGATAGTGAGAGTGATTGGTTAGCCGAAAATTGCTCTGGCCGGTGTCTAATCAAACAATCAAGAACTACATTGTTCAATTAGTTTATGTAAATCTTCATATATCAATCGATAGCACTTTCAAACCGTTACATAACCATATTATTTTCAAACTTCGAAAATATTAGCCACATAAAAGCTTCCTAGTAGACTGTTCTCTAAACATGATTTGGTACAGTTTTGACTAGTATTAGAAGATTTCGGTTAGAAAAATACAATATGTTGTTAAACCAAGAAAATATTTGGATTCAGCAGTAAAAATTGAGTCAACCTATGAATGTTTCAGATAGTTTTTGCGAACTTTATGTTTCGTCAAAAAAAACTCACCTATAATCCTCCTCAGGGTACTAGGCAAAAAATATTACGATTCCAAATTTTTTTAAACAGTTTAGTCTCAGACGCTAATTTTTCTATATTTGAGATACCAATACTTGACTTTACAAACCCATATAGTTTTCGTTGAAATCCTCGAGAAACACTCTGGAACCCTCCCTCGTTGGAATTTTTTAATGTTTCGTGTCAATGAATTGTTTTCCTCTTAGAAAGTATAATTTCTTTACAGCGACTATTATTTTCTTTTTCTAATAATAAAAGCTATGCATTGTTATTCATCAATAATTATTGAAAATAATATGAAGAAAATCATTTTTTGATAAATTGTCAATAAAAAAAATGAACATTTAAAATTTTATTTTATTATTGTTTAATGTTTGCAATAGAAATAATATAATCAATATATTCTCGAGGAAATTTATGTTGTTTAGCAGCATTAATAATTGTTTGAAGATACTCATTCGATGGAGTAAAATCTTCTTCATTTGTTGTTTCATCTATAAATGTTATTGCTTCAATAATTTTATTATCATTAACAAGTTCAATATTGATTTTAATCATTTTATGACCAGGTTCAGTTTTTAATAAATAATCAAGATGTTTTTCATTTATAAGATAAACAAGTCCATATACATATGAACCCTTTTTAGCCATAATATTTGCTCTTCCTTCTCCATTTTCTTGACGATGATTAAAACGAAATTGATAATCAATTAATCGAGCAATATTTACGCTAAGAGGATGATTATTACCAATTCTTTCTTCAAATAAACTTTGTTTTAGATTACTAGCATAACCAAAATAATTTATGTTATTCATTTTTATGATCTAGAAAATAAATAAATTAGGTTTTTTTTCTTTAGCGTATTTTAGTTATTTAATAAAATACGCGAATATAAATTCATCCATAAGTTTAGTGTAATAAAAACAAGTCATCAGTATAACTTACTGGCTACGTTGTGACACATATACTTGCTCTTGCCGCTAGTATGTGGTTAGTTAGTGTATTGGGGCGGCTCAAACAATTAAAAGTAAGAACACTGCGTCAGATCGACCTTGTCTCAAGTGCTACAGCTAGTTATAGTGGTAGGGAAGATATTGGGCTATTGAATCTGTCATTAGAAAATATTTCATACCACAAAGTAGCTGAAAGGCAGATATATTCTTTCTATAGATATAGTTTAAGGAAAAAACAAAATAGATTCATTACTACTTTACTTATTTTGTGTATCTAATATTCCAACAATTTCTATTGATAGCTGAATAATTATTGATTCAATAGAAATATGAGCATAAGAATTTTTTGACGAATAGAATTATTCATTGAAAAGTGAAAAATGAACAAAAATTTGAGTGACTTTTTTTTCTGTTGTTCTTATCTATTTTTCATTTAGAAGAGATGGGTTTGTGATGAAAGAGAAGAACATTTATTGATAAGATAAATACACGAGTAAAGACCAAAAAATGTTCTCTTAAATTCAATTCTGATTTTTATTTTCATGAAAAAGATATTTAAAATAAAAATCTTTGAACAGAATCATATCGTTTCTTTTTCATTTGAGTTTATCGAAAAAGTTTTCCTTTAAGTTGAATAAAAATTCAATCTCACATCTAATAAATTTAATTGTTCATCGTTAGAACATATGAAAATCCTTTATAATGATTCATAGTTTTTGACTTGATTTCATTTCGAGAGACAAAAAAATGTACATTAGAAAAATTATGATTAGTCAAAGAGAATTTGAACAAAAGCAGTAGTGTCAAACTTGAAACTTGAATTCAATTGAAATTTCAACTTTCAACTGAAATTTCAAGTTTCAACTTTCAACTTTCAACTTTCAACTTTCAACTGAAATTTCATTGTCAAGTTTCAAGTTTCAAGTTTCAACTTTCAACTGAAATTTCAAGTTTCAACTTTCAAGTCGTTTTGCGACCGGTCCTTTTCTGGGCAGTCTTTTCGCGGCACCCACACCAGCTGCGATGTGATATGTGTCGTTTCGTGACCAGTCCTTTTGCCGCACCCTCACCAGCTGCGATGTGATGTGTGTCGTTTCGTGACCAGTCCTGTTGTCGCACCCTCACCAGCTGCGATGTGATGTGTGTGAGAATGCTGGTTAGTGATGATTCTTCAAAGTTCTGCCCATTTGAGGCTTGAAAATTGAAAGTTGAAAGTGGAAACTTGAAACTTGAAACTTGAAACCTGAAATTTCAATTGAATTCAAGTTTCAAGTTTGACATATCTGTGAAATTGACATATAAATATGCAAAACCGATTTATAAAAAAACATTTTATATCGAATTCTAACGATAGAATTAAATTGTCTAAGAATGATTTTCAACAAATGTTCGATGATACAAAGCCTACTTGTATTCTTTTATTTTATGAAGGATTTGACACTTGTTTTAAATTTTGGTTCTAATTCTCGCTGGATACAAAAATTCAAATATCTACAAAGTTGTCAATTCTTCGGTTCAAATATATTTTTCATGGCAACGTAAACTTTAACAGATAAACATTTATTGAATTGTCAAACTGAATTCTTGTTGTTCTAGAAATAAAAAACAAATGTTTGTATGTATATCTTATTATCAAGGTTAATGCTAAAAGTCAAATATTGTACAGCAAAAGATCGAGAATTTATTGCTCTATATGTTTACGATCTCATTGTTTTTCTTATTATTTTTGTTCAAGAGAATTAAAGTTTCCAACCAATATTTTATGATGTTTTTGGGTGCACTATGCAAAAATAATTTTTGCACAAATAGAACTTCTACTATAAAATAGTGAATTATTTTTATGTTCGAATGCAGGATGGAGCTTTGTAAAAAAAAAGTCATAATATGTTTACCTGTACAGTTGAAAGGTTTCAATTGGTTAGAATTAATATAAAATAACAATTCGATTCGATCCAAACAAAGTTTTCGTTTTCGACGTTTTGACATTTTTCGTTTCTAAATTTTATCGATCAAATATTTTTTTCTGAAATACCGATAAGCGAAGAATTTTGTCTAGAATATTTTTTAACATATTTTAAATTCTGGCAAATCGATTCCTTAGAATTCTCTTTTTATTACAAAAATCTGGATCGTCATAGTCATGCCATTAAGAATACAACAATTGAAAAAAGTTCTTCATAGTGATATAATAGTATATTTAAATCAATGCAAAAATACGACAAATATCCTCTGATACTATATCCGACGATATAGATAGATTAAGTCATCGTACATTATTTTTTCGTTCTTTATTTAACACTTGTATCGAAGGCAAAAAATCTTTTATATGAAACAGAAATGCAAACAATGTGTCGCATGGCTGTGCGTGTTTTTTTTTGAAGGATGAAACAATGCATTTTTTTTTCTTATTATCATTGTCATCATGTGAAAATGATTACAATATAACTTTGCTTTGAACGCATGTAACAGTACAATATTTGTTCGATATAGTCAAAACGAGTAAAAGTATTTTAAACTAGGTTCCCGCTTTCACAGTTTATTCATCTTGTTTGAGAGCACAATAGTAAAAGCAATTTATTTCGATATTTTTATTTTACGAATATCAATTTATTTTGTTTTCTCTTAACATATTTACTGATTGAATCTCCCATGTGATTCGAACTGAAAAAAAGAACGTCGTCAGTAAACCGTTCTATATAATATTCGCTATGCCAATAGTATATCGGTAGCTGTTCTCTGATCGGCAATATTCTATCAGTTCTTATAAGTATCGTGATATACCATTGGTAGTGCGAACAAACGTGTGACATGGAATATTTGATCTTTTGAATAATCAATGAATATTATACCGATGGAAAGAACATAGGAAATTGCCAAAATATATGAATTTTCTTGTATGGTTATGATTAAATTCCTAGCAGAATATCTTCAAAATAGATATTTCAGCAAAGATAAAAAAAAAACTTTGACTCCTTTCTATCACTTTTTCTTTACGCACTTATTTTTTCTTTTATTTTTCGTTCTTTCATTTTCATCGTTCTGCTTGATATATTATACGTTTGCTCATGAGGAAGAAAGATTAAATTATGGCCGAGCGCGATTTTCCAATCAACGTCTTCTTTTATGCATAATTAAGAGTACGAGTAATCGTATTTTATATGATGAAAAGAGAATGTAATATACGATGATATCTATGCTGTACAAGTCGCATCTGATATAGATACAGTGTAAAGATTGATGCATACGTTCGTATGAGGACTATCGTACACACTCTATAAAAACAAAACATGTGCCTCTAAGATGTTTACTTCATATCCCATTTGAGCATTATTTTTCTTTCGATAATTCATAATATACTATAATTTAATTGAAGATATCCAACATTTTATTTCAAAAATTGAATTTCAAAAGATTCGTAAAAATTACGTTGACATATTTTTATAAGTATGAAAAAAATTAGTTTGAATTGATCAGTAATTAGAAGGGAACAAAAATTGAACTGCTTTACACTAAGAAAGTTTAGTCAATTAGTAGAAATAGTTAATCTTTGCTTTATACGATAATTTTCTTCTTATCTTTTCATATAGAGTTATTCGGAAAAAATTCTTTGTTTTTAAGCCTCCTAGTAAAAAAACTTAGATCATGTTAGATGATTTCTAGAATCACTTCGATAAATTAGATACTATTTGCAAAAAAACTACAGCTGGTTTCTAAATATATGAAGCTCTATTAAATATTTGCCTTAATATAAATATTGAAATTCGCTAAGTTATTATTTGATTTTTATCATGAACCACAAAGTACTTTATACCTAGAGTAACTTCAAAAAAGAATTCTTACTCAGTAAGAGTAAATGATGTGCTCCTATGAGTTAAATATAATTCTGTACTCAATCACAACATTCACAAACGTTAATATTCATGATTAAACGTTGGACTTGATCATAACCATCAGAAAAAGTCCATATATAAGGTAGTTTAGGTTTTATGCTTTTTTAACAGTATAATTTTTATTAATATAGAAGAAAAGGAAAATTTTTGAAGCAGTTAACAAGGAAAAAGAATCATTGATGTGAATACTAATGAAACTTGCTGAAGTGCACATAACAAATTTTTTTACTGAACTCTGATATGTAATTTTCAAGAATATTGAAGATACAGTTGCGTTTGTCTAGATATTGGATTTTTCCTGTATCAAATATTTGAAGGTTTTACAGTTGTTGCTTGTCAAGATAAATAACATTGAAACAATGCTTTTTAAATGTTCTCTTTATATTTTAATGCTTTCATAACATATTAATATCCCATATATAACGTAGTCTCAATTAAATAAACAGTATCTGACACGTTTAATTCCAACAGCTTCTCGGTAAACATATGAATATATTTAGTTCAATAAAACGAATTTTTTTTAGTACATCTAGGTCTTATTATTCAAATCACTTAGCGTTTCACACTAAATTTTTTTAAAATACATTTTGTTGGAATCGCTTATAATTACTTTACTTCCTAGTCGTCAGTTACTTTCTACACAAAGATCGAAAATCAAACAAAAAAATTTCAATGGAATTTATATCTTATTAAATATCATAAGAAATTCGATAAAGTTCACTTCTACATTGAGACTAAGGTAGACAAAATACATTCATTAATTTTTAGAAATCTGTTTTAATTTTAGGTTAGTAAGGTATTACTTATTCTATCAGTATCACGCAGAATATTTCGTAGAATTTAACGCTATTTAAACAGTACTGGTGTTACGAAAATAATTATGCGACAATGGAATCTCATAATTTCTATACTTCTATTGGGGATCTTCATTATATGGTTAATCTACTATATAATATGTAATGCATTGGAATATCGTTCACCACCTCGAATGGTATACGAAACTGATGTTCTTCGATATACAAATGCTACATTGGGCCGACGTCGTATTCCTCGATTAATTCATCAAACATATCGTACACACGATGTTCCTTCTATTTGGAATGCAACAGTTCAGTCAGTTATCGAAAAAAATCTCGGCGAGTTTAAATATCGTCGATGGTCTCATGCTGAAATGGATGCTTTTGTCAAGGAACATGAGCCTAAATTTTATTGGAAGACGTACATAACCTATCCGTATGATATGCAGCGTATCGACTCATTTCGATATGTTCTTATGTTTTACTTGGGTGGCATCTATGTTGACATGGACAATGGTTGCAATCGTCCTTTTCGTGACTTAGTAGTTACTCTAGAATCACTTGATCCAAATGCAACTTATTTGGCTGCTTTTCCTCAACGTGAATCGTTCGGAGTTGAAAGTGATTTTTTGATCAGTAGTGCTGGCCATCCATTATATAGGCAACTAATTTCTCGACTACATCTGTTCAATCACTATTATATTTTCCAGTTTTGGACAATGCTACTCAGTGCCGGTCCTATATATGTCTCTATTCAAGAACGACTTTTCACATCATCGGAACAGGCAGTTGTACGTCTGTTGGATTTTAGTGTCTTTCGGCCTATGTTTATTAGAAAAGAAAATGGATTTACATGGATTGGTCGAGATGCTCATTTTCTGTTCTATATTAGTGCCAAGAGTGGTATTATTCTATGGTATTGCAAAATATTTATTATCATTATTGTTCTTTTTACTTTAATTAGATGGTGCAAACAAAAACAAAAAATAACTTTTAATTATATCTATTCTCGTAAACGATGAAGTGATGAGAATAAGAAGTAGAAAATAATTAATTTTAATTCTATAGCATGATTAATTGTTATTATTCATTTCTCGTGTCTTCGAGCTTAACATCATGGAGAGAAAACTATATGAGTATTGTGTACTAAAAATTACACACAAAAATTGTTTGATATGTATGTTTTATTTCATTAATAAGGCAAATCATGAGAAATCTCAATGATTCAATAAAGTAAACGAAAAGACTCGAAGGAAAGAAAAAACCAAAAGAAACTACAGAAAACTGTAGGAAGCATTAGAAGAAAGCCATTGCTATTCATCGAAACAAAAATAAATATATGAGCAAATAAATACGAACAATGTTTTAAATGTTTGATAACGTTTAAATAGTCTTATTTATCAGAAGTTCGATTCGTCTGTAACGCTTAACGATTTTTGCAAAAAAATAATCGGTCAAACAGTTCTCTCAAATAAAACATTATCTTAAATGATTTCATTCTTGACCCGGAGTGAAGTTCGTTTTTTCTTGTAGAAAAGTCTAATTTTACTCAAGTTTCTCCAAAATAAAAGATAAGTATGTTAAATGAGGAAGTCGGTTAATATAAATTTATTTATTTCATTTCAGCTAAAGAAATACCAATAAGAAAAAGTTATATTGACTGAATATTGATTCACTTTCATCTTTTCATCTATAGATGTGCTATTAGAAATTATATTTTTCTAATTGAAACATTGATCCAACAATACTTCTATTGGAGTTCATCGAGTTCTCTCACTAGAGTAGCAATGTTGATTTTCTTAATATTATTCCTCTTTTTGCTTTTTTTCTTTTATCAAAATTTAGATTGCACAAACAGAGCATTAGTGTCATTATTTATTTTTAACTGTGTTTGTTTACAAACAGGTTGTTTAACTATGAGCAATCATATGTAGACACCCATGAGTTCCGATTGAGTATACTCATCTTTATCTGGCCTATCTGTCTGTCATTATTTTAACTAGAAGTTAAATGATCAGATCTTTTTATGCATGCTCAGTGATACAGCTATTGTTTGTTTCATAGATAGTAGGAATCTTGACCATGCCGTTTTCATCTAATTGAATAAGATCAACACAGTGTGAACTATATTTAGTAAAGAAAAGAACTGATTATTAGCATCTGCAGACACAGAAAATCATTAACTTTGAGTTGTTTCAGATATATTTAGTCGCTAACTTTTCAAGTTCGCTCTCAGAAGCTGTTCAGCTGAAGGTAATACACTTAATTCTGTAGAATACGCCATGACTGAAACAGTAAAACAGAATAAAAGTTGATCATGATAAATAATTTTAATCATTGTGGAAAAAAAGCTGAATTCCAGAAAAATCTTTTAGTAAAGCAACCATAGATAGGCACTCATAGACTATGAATTACTCTACTCAGGTTCAGCTAAAACAAGTTAACTATCAAATCTGAAGGCATGCGAATTAAGAGAAAGATATAAATAGATCAATTATCTGCAACCTAGTACGGTTCAGTCAGTGATCTACTTTGTAATTCATTCTTCGTCACCTTTATTTAAATAATCAAGGAATAATCTGTTTACATCTAAGTGCATTATCAAATGATTAACAATTTTTCATTCTCTATCAATGGTTGGTTATGTTGCCATTGGATAGAGTCTCTCTCAACAATTACATCGAACCACACTCTCCAAACTTGAAACAACTCTGTAAGATACTCTTAGTAGACAATCCATTCTACTATGGTGCGAAAGTGGTCGATCTATCTTGGCGTAATGATACCTATGACCTGATTCAGTTCGTTAAACGATGTGAACCAAACACAGTCGGAAACAGTGTGAACGAATCACTCATTCTTCTTATTTAAGTAGCGTATCAGATACATTTATCGACCATTTCAGTTTCTATTTGAGTCTTTTCATCGAATTTGTCCATATGATTCCGTTGTTTCTCGCTTTTCACGGATATTTGGATTTTTCTCCGATGTTCAAAGAAAACCATTGTGAGTTCGTGTCTATGGAGATATTTAGGACTTTGATATTCTCGGTATTTCTTTGTCCATCTTAGCCATAGGTGAATTGACATGAAATAAATCTGTTTAATTATCGCTCAAACTCATCCAAAAAACATCTTGTGTGTCTTGGATGTGTGCGCTGTTTCTTGAGCGAGTTCAATAGATGTCTACAAACGATCAAGAAAGGCTACGCTATAGTTGTACTTCTCGAACCAAAGATCGGTAATTTGAATAGACCATGTGTAGTCTTTCAAATACGTCTTTCCATGTTTAAGAGCTCCATAAAATTAGTTGGAAACTTTGAACCATTGATGGAATAGCTATTTTGATGCGACTTTCTACTTCTTGTTGTCTTGAAGTATGAATGTGTAGAGAGTTTACAGCAACAGATTACACCAACATCCACACCCATATCCTTTGACTTGAAACTTACACTGGCTATTTTCTTCGAAAATATATGTGATTTTCACAAAATCGTTGTTATTCCTTTCTTTCTTCTTTGAATTCTATCTGCATGATTTTCATATGTGACAACACTGGAAAAAACACGAACATGAGAGGTACTTCAACTTGTGCTATCTCTAATTAGTTGTTCTTTTTAGCGTCTTGGTTCTTATACATTCTTTATTTGACATTTTGCAGATAGTTATGGTACAACATTGTTTGCTGGCTTTCGTTGTCATTGGTCTCAATTGGTTTCATGTAATTAAAGATACTTCAAGTGGCGCAGTCATACTTTTATTCTAACTATGAAAACATTTCTACTAAGTTCGATTACAGTCTGGCTAACCATGCAACGACAAATACAGGAATGTTCAGTGTCGTAAATTCGACGCAAGAGACAATTCATTTATTCAGATAATAGCATTCAACTTGATAGTAGATCCATGCTGGTCAATATATTGACTGATTATGAAGTTTTCAATCATTCAGGTATATGTTCAAGTGACATTCATGAACTATAGCAAGAACAGAAAAGATTTTCGAGAAAGAAAGTCATAGTCATCGGTTAAGTGTAGAAATCGGAGACGTTGTGGACAAATAAAGACAGGCGATAAAAAAAATGATCTCTCTGGTTTTACTAGAGCATTCATTTATCTATTTATACGAATCAGAAGAATCTTCTGAATAAAAATCAACAATTATGCAAGAAAATTCATAAACACGTTCGAATATACCAGAAGAAATAAGGACTGTTGTTTTGAGTTAAAAGAAAATGTTCCTTTTAACGACATATCTATCGATGCGATACAACAGAGACGGTCAACAAATACAAATCAGTGTAGAAAAAATTGATATTCATCGTCATACACTGACCGATGTCGTTTCAATTATTGACTAGATCTCACAGCAAATGTCTGATAACTGTTTGAATTTCTTCAAATATAAAAAAATGATCATGAAACGAAGTGCAATTAGAGACTTTTTCGAACTCAATCCAAATAAATGAAATTGTTATTCAACATATTGCACGAGTGTTTATCTGCTGAAAGTGACTTTGTTCGAAGGTATCTCAATTTATTGATTCATGAATTTTCTTTCTGCTTTCAATGAAAGATGTAGATAGCAATTGAAAAACAAACAATCAATGTACGCTTAATAAGACTGATTTGTGGCAGATCATGCTTTGACTTCAATCAAACACGATCGATGCATAAAGTATTCTCACCACGTACAACGTTTGATACCTACCTAGTCATGTGCGAATTTCAATGTTTCTTCTGAGCTAATTGCATCTTTGTACTACACTCTATTGTCCGGGTTCAATAAGTAAACTAGTCTCTTTTAATAATTATAATGTGCAAAGAAAACATATCGTATTCAATGTTATGAGATCAGTTCAAGATTGTTCGACATTGAAGACAGTCGATACGGTAGGAGCGGATTTTCGCTTGAGTGTTGTCGCTCGTAAAATATCAATAAAAGTGACTCGTTGACAGCCGTACTTCGCCGCAAATGCCATACGATTCTCTCTATCTTTTCGAAACATTGCTCGACGCTTCTTCCAAGGTACCAGGCACATCCAAATCAATGTTCCAAATTGATAGGCAAAAAACATAATAGTGTACACTATTAATGCCCAACGATCAATAACAATTATACTGTCTATACTGACTGTTTTCGAAGCAATCGGACTTTCCAACATATAATAGTACACGTAGCCGATAACACCATGATCGAAATGAAAAAATGAATACAAATTTCTATCCAAGAAGATAAGATAAAAAAGCAAGATTTGACTAACAGATATTTAGTAGGCAAAGTGAGAACATGCTGCCAATTGCATAGACATCAACTGCTGTGAGATAAGAGGTGGTTCTAAATGAATAAAATAAGTATGTGCACGAAACAAGAATTCAGAATAAAAAAATCAATTGCATACGGTAGACTCTTGTTACAATGCCAGCGAAACGTGATCGACGTTAATAAAAGTGTGCAGGATATTTGTACACGTCCACTAATACTAAAATAAGAAAATGAAAGGTCTGACCATTGATAGTAATGAAAAAACATCTATCATGCACTCACTTGAATAGTGGAATTGGAAACGTTGTCAAACTGGCTGATGTAATAAGGAAAATGAGGAAGTAGGCATTCCACATGAAATATCCGTATCTCCTATATTGCAAAAATATATTCTGTTTGTCAAAATCTATTACCCTGGTTCTTCCTACCGTGCAGCATGACATGAGCAGATAACTACTGAATAGTTGTGTCCATCCTCAAGATATTCTTCGATTTTCTCTGTTATTTCGATATCTACATGTTCAAAAAGGTACCATTCTTGTTGATCTGTAAAAACATGTCGGTTTGTTCCTGATGGTTTATGAAGATTCTTCACAAAGATCATTTCTTTGCTTGAATGTGATGTTGTAATTGAAAGTGAGAGTTCTTGAACATCAAGTGGAAAATATTGCAATTCCATTCTTTCCCACCATGTGCCTTTCAATTTATGATGCTCAGTCACAGTAGCAATACCTTGCCGATCATGACGAACACTGTAAGTTATCGTATCATGAAGTTCACCGATGCCATTCACTAATTCGAGTTGTGGCGTCCAATAGACCATTGGATCGAAAGATTTCTTATGTAGACCTTTGAGTTTCGGTTCTTCCCAAGAAGCTTCGAAAAGTATTTCAGCATAATAACGTTCATTCAATGTATCAATATCGCCAACTCGCATAAATACACAACGAACTTCAACCTACATCAGTTCAACAAAGATGGTAAACTTAATCGATAAATCGTTTTGCTAAAAAAAACTAATTCGAACTTTACCTTGATGGGACTTTCATCAAGTTGTTTAAAGATCAAATGCTTTGGTGAAGTACTTTTCAGATCGTTACAATTCTCTTCGCCTATATCTTTGGCATCTTCATTTGTTGTTCTTGCAATTGTGATGTTTACCGGCCAGCTCAATGGTGGAGTTTTAGAATTTTGTTCCTTATTATTCGATTGATTGTTACTAACAGGAGTATTATTTTCATTCATATTGACTTGTCGATTCGTCATCAATTGTAGTAATTGTCTATTACCATTTTGAATCCATCGACTTGATGATGCTTGTCTGACAGGCCACACTACTGAAGAAGAAAAAAAAAGCAGCTCTGAAATATTTTCTCACTGGAATATTTCATGTAATGTTTCCGTCTCTTGAACCAAACAATATGAGTTAAAAACGGCAAGAATCAGCTTCATCAAGGGTCTTCAAAACTGCTTTGCTGCAGTTTCAAAAGCATGGAACGATATGTAATTGTGCAGTTCAATATGAGTCTTTTTCTTTACTTATCGAACTATGACTTGCAAGATAGCACCAAGTGCCTATGGCAAATTGAGAATAAAAATCGTAGACTTTATACTTAGTTTCACAGGTCCACGTTAATGAAAAATATGTTTGAGGGAAACAACATGTTGTCTACACTAGAAAAGCTCAAAGTCATCTCATCACTTAACAACTGTTAATAATTTTCTTGCTATGTTAGAAAACACTCTCCTTGATTAATTTTCTTTATAAACATGCATGAGATAGACCAAATTTGTTTTGCAAAATGTAAGAATGATGATGATTCAGAACAGTATGATGTCCATTGAGTTTCTATCACTGAGAAATCTCCATAATTGTTGTTTGTTTTTTCTTAAGGTAGATTATTTGTGCAAAGTTCTCTATATTCAAATTAACCATGGGCAAAGACTTCATCAAACATAAGACAGTTGTCTTTTCTAAGCTAAATGACTACAAAGTTCCATTTTTTTTACTGAGACCGGAAGATATGATTTGTTATCGATGAGCCACTATGATCTTGTCGTAATAGACTTCTCTTCTGGAACTCTAACAATATTCTCTAATATCTTCGATAGAAATGCAGTACATGCACTACTTCAGTATTTTGAACTGAAGCTCAAAAGATGCATACCATTTTAACATTGATCTGTATTCGGATCAAGCCTGATGAATGTTACAGATCAAATAATTAGAAATTAACCCAGATAATACATTCATGTATCCTAATTATGATTATCTATGTCATCAAACAATTGGCAAACTTACGGCGCATTGGCGATGTTGGAGATTTCATACTGTGTACTGAGAATAAGATGAGATGCTCCTAGCTATTTCTGCGTCTGACGTTAAGTTAGCTTCACTAGCAAATAAAAACAGCCTGTATCTCACTTTCCTGTTTTTATTCTGTGTCAAAGTTTGTCGATGTGTTTGTCATTTCACAGAAATGTAAAACAAAACTCGGAACCTTTTTTTCTCTGCCATAATTACGATTGCTAATTATAGATTCATGACGAAGCTTGTGTAGAGAGCTTCGTTAACATTGTAAAGAATGCATTTTCTCTCTCTCTCTTCATCTTTGTTAAATATTCTCCCATTATGAACGCTTCCATTTAGTTAATAATTATTTTTCTCTTTCGTATGAGCAGAGAAAGAAAGAACTAGGAGTTTAGTTGTAGTCATATAACAACTTGTTTTTCCATACACTTCTTTTGATTGAAAAGTATACATCATATATTGTCAAAGATATATACTCACACACATATATTCAAATATATACTACTTGAGCGAATAATGCCGCTGTTCATTATTTCTTAGCCGTTAGATGTAGGTAGATGCTATCATAGTCAGAGCAGAGATTCTATGATCGAACAAAACTTTCTTGTTCATATTCAACTAACAAGTACCAACGCTTGTTAGACCCGATAAAGGCATGGAACTCAGTGTAACGTTGAAACTCTATGAATCCGAACTATGCAAGTCAGCACTCCATATAACAAGAAAGTGAAAAAAAGCTTTGAAGTACTTTTAATAGCATTAAAGGAAAACAATTCACATTTTCTTACCATTTTCCACTTTTTTCTAGTACTTTATCATACTGTCCTTAGTTTGAAAAGTACTTAGCAGGACTTTTCTACTTCATAAAGTATATGGAATGAACTTGTATAGTTTTCAAAATACTTTATAATACTTTTAGTACTTTCAGTAGTACTTTAAACATGATAGAAAAGTTGTGAATAACCTAAAAATCTAAGCGTACATTAGATTTTAATTTATTTTCTATAATTGTTTTTTCGTTTTATAAAATAGTTCGAATAGTATGACATAAAGCAAATGTGTAATTACACTAAATATTTTTTTCTATTCATTTCTTACACAACTTTTGGCAATAATTTCAACAGATTATGCATATTTGTTTTTACATTCAACTTTGAAAACTTGATCCATTTCTTTCTTGTTATGGATATTAAGTAACAAGACAAAATTTTAGATGATGCAACGATTGCTATACTATGCCCTATTGTTTGAAGTACGATTTCGCAATTCATCATCATCTCGCGTAATCTTTCGTAATTCCATTAGACGATGTACACAATACAATTCATATCAGTATAAATTGTACAAGACTTTTTTTTTTGTTCTTTATTCGCAATTTCAAATCGTATTGATCTAAATATCAAAATTCTTTCATTTTTATTAAATATAATCAAAGTTTTGATTTATTATAATGGGTAAAGAAAAGACACATATCAATATTGTTATTATTGGTCATGTGGATTCTGGTAAATCAACTTCAGCTGGTCATTTGATTTACAAATGTGGTGGTATCGAAAAACGAATGATCGAAAAATTCGAAAAAGAAGCTGCTGAAGTACAGAATATTTGTTTTTTATTTTGATAAGATTTATGTAATTATGTGTTTTTAAATGATTGATAGATAGGCAAAGGTTCATTTAAATATGCTTGGGTTATGGATAAATTGAAAGCTTCTCGAGAACGTGGTATCACCATTGATATTTCACTTTGGAAATTTGAAACCAACGCATATCATATTACTATTATTGATGCACCGGGTCACCGAGATTTTATCAAGAATATGATAACAGGCACATCTCAGGTATGAAATTTATTTTTTGCTTTTTTTTTCTATTCTATTTATGTATGTTTTTCTTCTTTCAGGCTGATTGTGCCGTGTTAGTTGTTTCTGCTGCTCCAGGTGAATTCGAAGCTGGTATCTCGAAAAATGGTCAAACACGTGAACATGCTTTACTTGCATACACATTAGGTGTCAAGCAAATGATTGTCGTTGTCAATAAAATGGACGCTACAGAATTTTCACAAGCACGATTTAATGAAATCAAAAGCGAAGTATCAGCATATATAAGGAAGATTGGCTATCAACCAGAAAGTGTTCCATTTGTTCCAATCTCAGGATGGCATGGTGATAACATGATTGACGCATCAGAAAACATGCCATGGTATAAAGGATGGTTAGTTGAACGTAAAGGAGGTAATGCTACAGGCAAAACTCTGTTGGAAGCTCTTGATGCTATTATGCCTCCACAGCGTCCAATTGAAAAACCACTTCGTCTACCTCTACAGGACGTTTACAAAATTGATGGTATTGGTACAGTACCTGTTGGCCGAGTTGAAACTGGAATACTTAAATCCAACATGACGGTCAATTTTGCTCCAGCGAATCTAACGGCAGAAGTCAAATCGATTGAAATGCATCATGATAATCTTACTGGTAAATAGGATTGTTTGTTTGAGGTTTTTATATTTAAATTATTTTATTTTATTTTATTTGTAGAAGCTTTACCTGGTGATAACGTTGGCTTCAATGTTCGAGGTGTCAGTGTAAAAGATCTTCGACGTGGATTCATTTGTTCAGATTCAAAAAATGATCCAGCACAAGAAACTTCTAGTTTCATTGCTCAAGTAAATTTATTTTTCTCTCTCATTCTCTAAGGCTTATTGCTTTTTTTTCATATAGGTTATTGTGCTTAACCATCCTGGTCAAATTGGTCAAGGTTATGCACCGGTACTTGACTGTCATACGGCTCATATTGCATGTAAATTTGCTGAATTGATTTCAAAAGTGGATCGTCGAACAGGTAAAGTCATTGAAGAAGCTCCAACATTTATCAAATCAGGTGAATCTGCTATGATTAAAATGGTCCCAACAAAACCAATGTGTGTTGAAAAATTTACTGATTATCCACCATTGGGTCGCTTTGCTGTACGTGATATGCGACAAACGGTAGCTGTCGGTGTTATCAAGGATGTAGAAAAGAAAGCACCGGCATCAGGCAAAGGAGCCAAAGCGGGTGTTCCCGCTGCTATCAAAGGAAATAAGAAATAGGACACGGGGTACTTTCGCAAACGCACATCACAACCAAATAACATATTGATACAACTAGACTTACAAAAACAATATCAACAGTTCAGTAAAATCATCTGCTTATTTCTAGAGACTCATTGGGAAAGACGAAGAAAACAAAAAGATTTTTATTCTTGGAGAATTTTCTTGTCATTTTTTCTTCAAGATAAATTATTAGTTTTTTTGTTTTATTCTCTTATTTCATCTAGTCTCTTTTTTTATCATTGATTAATCTTCGCTTTTTTTTGATGATTAATCTCATATGTAGTTTCTTTACTCGTTTAAGATTAGTTGTGTTTAGATATTTTTTGTGTTTGCGAAAGATTTTTCTCTTTCTCGTTTTTCTTTTTTATCTGATACAAAAAAATAAGAAGAAAAAATAATGTTTCTACCCAGAATGAAAAATAAATGTATACATATAGAATATTTTTTAAATATCTTTACTTTAATGTTATTTATAGGATATTCGAGATAGCATTGTAGGTGTGAGTTAACAGATGATGCTCATACAAAAACAGTCACTTCCACAATTACTAACATCCCAAAAATGGGTATGCTTACATTTTCAGATTTCGGAGAAAAGATGCAATTTTAAATCAAGAGTTTCATGCAATTTCAAAAAGTATCATATTTTTAATCAGCACAAAACAGCAAACAAGTCGACCTATGAGCATTCCATCTATTTTGTCGCTCAAATTTTTACCACGGGTTCCCTCAAAGATATCTGAAAGATGACTTTAGTCAAAAATTCATTTGAACAGTAGAGAGTAACTTTAGAACTCATTAAGTGCCATTTGAAAACAAACGTATAGATGATTAAACATTAACCCATTGGCAGTCGATATAAGAGAAGGAAGAAACGATTTTGCAGAAAATTCATTTGTCTTTTATTGAATGATTCTAGAGTTTGTCTTAGTAAAATGATGAGTTGGGGAACGCAGGATGCCAAGCATTTGTTCTTATGTAAATGCATCTAAAAAACATACATTAGAAATGACTTTTTTTAGTTCACGCAAAGATGAGGCTTGTGATGCCTATATGCGTCGGCGGCTGTCAAAGGATTAAAATAGGTGCTTCAATTCAATCTCTTTTTCATATATCTGTGTGGAGGAGCATGAATAAAAACTCGACTTAAAAAGAAGATAGCAGGAAAAAGTGGAATGCTCATCAGTCGACTCGTTGGTTTTTTGCGCTGCTTAAGCATATGATACTGTTTGGAACCGAATAAAGATTATTCTATATAAACCAATATCAAGCATTAGTCGAAAAGTCACAAAGTACATCTCAAGAATAGTAGGCTTCAGTTTTTGTTGTGTGGCTTACTTTTTTTTTTATAATTGTAATTCATATGGAATGCATATGAAATATAAGATTACAGTCTAAGGAATGAAGGATCCAGACAAGATTGATATAGAATTCTAAATAAATAGTTTTTACAATAAAATAAGGCATGAAAAAAAATCTATAAGATATAACTTAAAATCACGCTGTGTCTCTATTTATCTATAATTTATGCAAACTTTAAAGAAGTCCATATTTTGTTTTTAAACCTTATGCACTTTTAACGTTTCATCACTTTTAGGCATATTGTATCAAAATTTTCTATCTAGAAAATGTTTAATGAAGTTATAATAACTTAGACATTTGTAACCTGTTGATCTTGGTGGCACTGTGTTTTCGTCATGATAGAAATATCGATACATCCGTTTAGTAAGAGAATTTTTCAAATGAATTTGAAAGAGTTTTTCTTTTCATTGTAATTTCAATTCAACATGTTTTGCATTAACATGCCTTTTGGAATACATATGTCTCTTGACTCTGTCATTAGACTTTTGTTTTAAATACTTTTCAGAGTATAAACATGTGTTAAACTCAAGCAAGGAAAACGTATAAAACCGATTTGAAGCTGAACTTCGTTAAAATACCTTTAAAAAATGTTTGAGTCTTGTCTAAATTCAGTCAGGAGACAAAAAGCGTTCAAATGTGCTTGAAAAATTCCCTCCGATTGTGTGCACACGCAGTTTCAAAACAAAATTGATGCTATATAGGGACATATTAGTCTCATGAACTATAGAAAATCGACTATTCAGAAAGTACGGCGTCTGTTTTAGACTAGTGTCTTTAACATTGTTGACTTTGACTCGAATGAAAATGTGTTGATTTTCGGCAAAACCTAGTTGGCAGGTATTTGAAATATACCAAGTGACTACTAGACACGTCATTGTTTAACGTGGAAATGTTTTTCAACTGATCAGAATTATGAGTTGGTAGCAAGGTGCCATCAAGAGACTTTAGTTTTATCATCAACGAAAAGGTTTTCAGAAATGAAATCTCCAATATGGTCATTATATTCAATGCTGCTTTGCCGTCAAGGATAGTGATCAGTCAAAAAGTATGGAAGAGCACACTTCAATGTGAATCCAACAAATAAATTTCATCTGATTATAACATTACGATCAAAGACTTTCTCATCAGAGCAGCGCTTTGTGGTAGATATCTATTTTATTAAAATCAAATGGTTTTCAATCCGTCGGAACAAACTCTAACATTCTATCATGTGTCACATTCGCAGATGTTATACTTCTATTCAACTATTTCACTTTCGTATTAGAACTTTTCGTTGAGTCTATCAGAAAACAATCGTGTAGTATACGAATCACGATCAAGATTAGGACTGTAATATTCAATTATTTCGTTGATTTTGAAACCATAGTAGCGAATTGATACAGTTAACCAGAGAGCGACGGAAACTGAATTGTCATTAGCAAGAGCACCATGAACCGTTATAGAATTGTTTGATTCATCTATCGTGCATCGTTCTTAAAGAAACTTTCTAGTCGATTGATCATCTATAGATTACACGAAAAACATATGTATCTTATAACATGCAGCAGCATTTATATGATCGCTTATTTTATATATTTCATAAGTATCATTTTTGAGTGAGTAGGTTATATATGTATCACAAGATCAGTGAATTCTTATAAGCGTCATAATTCTTTCACTTCTACTACTTTGTTTACGTTAATGCCAATGCTTGATGAAACAAGAATATTCAATATTATGTAATATCTAACTTCAAACATAACGGCATCCACCAAAGCTATATTCGCTTATTTGATTGGCATACGTATTGAATCTTGATCTCATGTTTGCATCAGAGATTGTATATGATGAGAAAAATTCAAACTCAGACGATTTTATTCATAAAATTCTCTCCATTTATAAGCAATGTTCAGATGCTTCAACTAAGGTATAGAATAACAGGGTAGATGAACCATCGTTACCAGTATTCCAGTCAGAGTGCTGTTTGTATACTGTCTATAGTAAACTAATGAAACAAAATCCACTAGCGAGCATAAGTTACGTAAGGCTCTTGAATAACTTCGAAGACAACCAGAACTGTTTTGTTCACTAATGATGCATGATCAAAAAGAACAGTTTCTTGTCGACTTTATAATCAACTAAAAGTTACGTGTTAAAAGAACTTTTGTAACACTTCGGGCAACTGCTCTATTCATTTATTTCTCTTTTTTGGTGGCAATCGTACAAACTCCATAGGAGAATGAAAATCATATTATATCACGAATGAACCAAACAGCGGCCTCCATGAGTTTGCTCTCTTATTGTGCTTATTTTGTAAGGACTTGTGTTTGTTGAGCCCAGTAATTGATCAGATAGAAAATGGCTGTCAAAAACATGGATGATTCCATTCAATTGTTTCTTACACTCCGACATAATTTCAGTCTTGTTGATAATCAAACTAAGAGCTAATAGCTGATGAATAAGATAAAAGACGATAATTACCATGTTGATTGAAGATTGGAGCACTGCTTGAGGCACCCAAAGTGGGATCTAAACAAATCAGCACAAAATTCAATAGAATGTTTTCAACCAAAATCGTTTGCTTTGGACATTTTTGGGATTAAGAATAGATCAATTCAATTTTGTTGGCTTGTCCACAAAAAACACTTAAAAAGCTGAGCGACGACTTTTTCGAGAGCTAATTAGAAACGATAAATTATTATCTCTAACTGAATTCATGAAAATTTTGCCTAGTTTTAATTGCGCAGTATTCTGAGAGAACTCTGTGAGTATTGAATGCCAGATTAACTACTAAGAAAACTAAAAGAAAAAGCAATAAATTGATGAAGTAGTCTACCATGATAACTAATGTTTCCAATATCTTGATCCGAAGAAATCATTTGAAGCTTTTCAACAATAGCCGTTGTTAAGGATCTAAAATGTAGACCAAAAGACTGTATAATTGTTCATTGTTTGTACAAATCAGACAAACTCGGTACTAGATGACGATCCTTTAATGTATATAGCACCTGCTAGTATTATTCCAAGATAACCGGACGGTTTCCAACTGCTTTGCATATAGACAGGTATGATGTTTTTGCGTTGCTCTTTTGCGTAAGTTAATTCAGCTTGACAATTTTTTGAATCTTGATATGCTTGTGTAAGAAAGCAGACAACAGCCCACGAATTTTCAACACCATCTTCCATGCTATAAAAAATTCAAAAACTCAACATTTATATCTAGAAATGCCGTTCGTCAGGATAAATTTATCAATGACTCATCATACACAAAGCAAAAAGAATTCTATGATAATTTGGGTCGAACACACTACTTGCAAGTAACGTAACTGAATAATTGAACTATGCTAATCAGTAACATGGAATGAGTGTACTGTTTATTTGTCTGCTTCTCTTTCATATTTGTGTATTATAATTTACATGGAACACTTTATTTTGTTGTTTAGAAAATTCAATACTATAAATTTACCTGGCATGTAAGTTCTCGCGCATCCCTCCTTTCACATCCATCCAAACAGTATAACCTTGAGCAGTGAGAGCATCATAGATTTCCAAAACGGTTGCTTTGTTATCCCATTGATAGGAGAGCATCACATGTTTATTTCGGTGATCTGCCATTTCAATTCAGAATACTGAATTTCAAAGCTGAGAATTACTAA